GCTCCTCTGGTCGTGGGACGGGTGGACCGGGAATCGTGTTTTTGGCGTTTTAAGCTGCCCAAAATCTCAAAAATACGATTCCCGCTCCTCTGGTCGTGGGACGGGATCAAGACTTCGAGCTCTATACCCAAAGTAACACTGTTCCGCAGAATGGCCTTATTGTCGGCCTGCGGCAAGGACTCCTGCCGGGTATCCAGATGTAGGACAACGCAGTTGTAACTGCTGCCAGCCTGCAGCTCTTCGATGAGCACAGGAGAGTTGAAGTCTGATCGCCCCTGCCGGACACAGACCAGACTGAAAATGCGGATGCTCAGCGAACCGGTGCCAGCCTGCAGCCGCCAAGCGGAGTCAGGCGCAGGCACCCCTGCAGGCTCCTCGCGAAGAGTTTCAAAGGGAGACTCTTGTGAGGGCAGCGGGCACCGGGCCTGCTGCAGCCAGTCAGCCCGCTGCTCTGCGGCCATGAAACCTGCCAGAGACGAACAATACCGAAAGCGGCACACAAGCAAAGGTTTAGGCAGAACTCTCCCATGTCTGGACTGTCGCAGATTTTCTCGCTTGAGGGGCTGAAACCTGCTTGAGTCTTGAGAGAAGTCTTGAGAGAAGTGTCTTCCCGTGACTTTCCTGGTTCTGGGGATCTTATGCAGTATAACTAATCTTCGTGCGTTAAGACGGCGAGGTACCTGCAGAAAGGCTAAGGCCACAACCAGGACAGTCTAGCGGGAAAACCTTGTCTTTGCAGCTCGCTGCGGCTGCAATATGCGAGGCTTCGTCACAGGTCGGGCAGCCTCGCCGACTGCGACATCAGGACACGGCAACGGCACAGGTCTATAATCTGGCCGCTTGCGCTTGCGACTCCTGCCAGGCTTCGAAGCTTCCACGCTGGAGCCACCAGACTGCATGTCCAAAGCATCAGGAGCAGCTTTCGCAGAGGGCAGCACTTCCGGGACCCAGGACTTAAAACCCAAGCGACTCTGCAGGACGAAGTAAGCATGAGGGCAGTGTCCCCTTCGGCGATAATGCCAACAGGAACATTGGACATCGCCGACCTGGGTGGACCTGGACCTGTGCTGCTCGTGAATAACACAGCAGTGCTCCACCCAGCTCTCACAGAATGCCTCGTAGACCATCTTCTTGTTGCCATCCGCCATTTCTTTGACCAGACCATGCTGCGTCAGCAAAGCGTGCAGCTCCTGAAGGTTTTTTGTCTGCAATTGCTGCCAACACCGCTCCACGGTGGCGTCGGGCAAAGCTGCCGGAGTGCCAGTCTTCATAAAGAAAGCACGTGTGCGGCCCTTGTGTCGCTCAGCGATGCATGGCATGCGTTTCGCATCCTCCACGAGCCTTTGGATGCATGGAAGCATTTTGACGCCCAGCCCAGCTGCACGAACCCGGAACATCTTAGGCATCCTGTCCACCATCCAGTCATCTGGGCATGTGGGAAAAGAAGCTGTGTTGCCCGGAGACGTGAAGAGATGGAAGCTGTTTTCTTCATCGGACCTGTCTGTCCAGAGGTCCACAGCTTCGACCAAGGTCGAAAGCACCTGAAGGGCATATGTAAAAAGGATCAGCTTATGAACCTGTTCTCCCTGTAAAAAAAATACAAATACCCTAAGGTTTTAAGCCTGCAGTAGGAAAGGCTGAGAGTGTGGGTGCGGTTACAAGGCTAGAAGAATCAAAACCCTTTTGAAGCCGCCTCCTTCACGGTACGATCTTTAGCATCGCACAAGCTCCGCTTGAGGTGCTTGTGCGATTGTTCAGCCTGCTGTTGCGAGCTGCAATGCCCGTGGCACAGAGGGCTTGACATTCCAAACCACCATCGGCCAACAGTAGCTTGCTCCAGACCGTAGTCGGCTTTGACGAATCGCGCCACGTAAGTATATTGCTTTCTGAAATACTGTTCCCAGGTCGCTTCTTGCCAGCCAACACGAACCCGTTCCAAAAAGACTTGGAGGGCGACGACGTGCAAAGACAAGGTAGGCAGTCCTGCTATGACATAAAGGTATTTGGACACCACGCTGAGGGGTCTGGCGGTCAACCGTGGCACCGCTTGCCTTATGCCATTTTCAGTCTTGAGTGACTTCTTGTTCAAATTGCGTATCATATGTTCCATACCAGGAACATGCACGATGCTTGGCAGCACCGACCTGCCAGCTGCACCGAGGCCTGGAGCCCAGTCGGTGTGCCACTGGCTAGCCGGCGGAAGTCCGAGCTTCTGCATCTCAGCATGGACTGCTTCCAGAGACAATCTGTATGTTTCCGGCCTTTCTTTTGGGTGGCGACACAGAGCGACTGGCAAGCCCGACTTGCGCCATCGGCCAGACAATCGTCGGTGAACTGCGCATGTCAAGCACGTGTATTTCCAGCTGTCAATCTCGATGTCAAACGTGGCGTCGGCAGCCAAAAAAATCTTGGGCAAAAAACCACCAGAATGCAGCACCTGGAGCTCTCGTAAAACGGGCATCACCAGCCCCACGAAGGAGCCACTGGGCAGCACCCGCCACAGCCAAAAACTTTTAGCAGAGTCGCTATGCGCTTCCACCAGCTCGTCCCATTCTTCTCGTGAGACGGGCACGGGCTGTTGACGAGGCCTGTTGTCAACGACTGCTTGTGCGCCGAGTTCCTGCACACTCTTCCGGGCAAAATACCTCACAGAGTCTGGGTTCATCTCGAGAGATCGACCGAGATGGCGAGCAACTCGCGTCGGCGTCACACTTTCTTTCTTCTCGGCAAGATGAGCAACTGCCCGCTGCACAAGCCTTCTGCCTGGAACTGTTGCAGGCTTGTCGCTTTGCGCATCTGCTCTCACCTTGCGGGGAGTGCCGTGCTCACATGTGCCCGCCACCTGGACCTGGAGACGAAGGACCACATGCTTCTCATCTGGACTCCATGTACAGGTCGCTTGAAACTGAAAGCTTGTTCCTTTGCCGTTCCAGCAGTGGTCATGTTCAAAGCACCGACAAGTGGCTCGCAAGTCTGTACCCGAACGCCAAGCCGTTGACAGCATCCCAAGCTCGCTGTCATACTTCTGCATCCATTGGCGACAGTAGGTCCGGAAGACTCTGTCCTCCACCTTGCTCTTGCTTTCTCCAGGGACCAACTGCACATCAAAAGATTGCTGGCCGCTGTCGCAGTGTTGATATTGCTTGCGGGGCCGTTTTGTCCTGGCAACATCTGCCTCCTGCTCGCTGTCAGAAATAATCACGACTGCAGCAGCATCTGCTTCTGCTTCTTTGCAAGCATCTTCCTGCCCACTGGCCAAGCCCAGTAAAAGTGCCATCGTCAGCACACGAAGGAACTTCATTAACGGGTCAACACAACAACAGCTAAATACTTCCAAGCTGAGTAGAAGCTGAGCTTGTTTCCCCGTCATGGGGTGCTTTTGCCTGACTTGCACTGGGTTGAGCTTGAAAAATTGAAATCGAAACGTCATGTGGCAAAGCAACTGAGACAAACATGTTTAGTGGTGGCAGAACGGTCTGGTGCAGCTACTTCGGAACATGAAGCAAAGCACGATCAATCTCGCTCACGGTTGAGCACTGCCTCCACTCCAAGCCGCAGCGCTGCTCGAGTTTCGCCCCCGCAAAACTCTAGAGCACCGCAGCTGCGATGCCAGGCTGATGACTGCAAAAGACATGGTCGAAGACAACGCATCCCCGATTCCGATTCCTCAAATCCTTCGCTTTGCCTGATTCAGCTGTTCAACTCTAGCTATCCTGAATGAAACTGCGGAGGGAGCTGGTTCGTATGACGAGGGATTTGCATGTCAGCACCGCTACAAGCCTCCATCAGAGCTTCCCCTGACTTGAACTTCTTTCGGCAAATGCTCTTACTCAAACTTCTCTCAATTGATTGGTCGGTTGCTGGTGCAAAACCCCAGGAGTCACCTTCATCGTGTGCAAAGGTTTGACACCTCAGAACTAGCAGAATTACAAGAATCATCTACTACTACAATTATCTACACAATTATCTACAC